CGGTGAAAACTCCCCGCCCTTGAGCTGAGGATCCCCACCCCGTAGTTCAGCACCTAGCGAGTCGGAGCCCGGCGGAAAAGTCGCTCGGGGCTCATAGTAGGGAAACCAAGCAAACCAAAAAAGTGTAAACGGGCACGGGGGACCTAGACAACATTCCCTCCAAATCCTCTAAGGGTTGATTCTCAATTCTTTTCAACCATCCTTCTTTTCAAAATCAGCCGTTTTCCAACTGGGTTTCCGGAGGTTGTCTAGAATCTGTGGATCTCTGGAAAGAATGGGGAAGGTACCCTTAGAAAAAAGGCGCTGCCAAGAACCAAAGAAAGAAACGGTGGCCATGTGGGGTGTGTCGCAAACTTGAGATTCCGAGCGACCCTCCCCCCACACCAAATGTGGTAACTTTGGGTGTCCCTTCGAACTGACCTGAAAAAAGGGCACCCCCCATAAGCTACGCAGCCATTTTGGAGGACACTTTCGAGAGTCATGCACCAGGAAGATGCCACAATTCCCATAGGAAGCACAGGGGATGACTGAAATAACATTGGGGACATAGGTGTCCTTTTAGGGAAAATAGATGGCCCTGGTAGTTGATTGAACCACCAGGTAAACCAGGGCCCTCTGTTTTTCAACCAAATCAACCAAAAAGGACACCATGATTGGGGACTTGAGCCATCTACTTTCACCCTACTGTGGATGGTTGCGAAGTCCATTTCGCACCACCGTTCAGAAACCCGTGGGAATGCTTCGATTCCCCAACGTAAATACCAACACACCGTGGTTTCTCATGGTTTCAAAGTGGTGCGAACGGATTTCGTCCATCCACAGTAGGCTGGGGGGTTGAGACTAGCCATACCCAGGCTGACCTGAAGCCCTGAGCCATGGCCTTGGGCTAAACATGAGAAACTCTTCTGCTTCCGCAGGTTTTCCCGGTGAACATGCCAATCCAACCACTTGAATTGAGCCTAAAACTTTTGGGTGAAGTCACCTACCAAAATTGGTGACCCATTGGTTTTGACAATAGCCACACCTAGGTCCTCCAGTTTTGGAGCTTGGAATCATTTTGGTACCAACTGTGTTCTTGTTTGTCTAGGGGCACCCCTCCCAACCAAAAAGGGGAGACAAGGGCACTACTGGGGGACCTAGGGTTTCCCTGGAGGACATAGCTCGTCGATGACGAAACTCGGTCCGAAAAACGTCGCATGTCCGCTTTAGGCACCCAGGATGCTGACATGGAAAAACCGGTGTGTCTGTGTGTGTGTTTGGCGTAGGGCCATGGTCCAGGAACTTCCAAGCCATATGCATTTGTATTTGGTTTGTATGCCTATTTGGCCATGGGTCAACACCCCGGTTAGCCCCCAGTGAACAACCCAATCCCCACTAAAATAGACTAAAATGGGTGGTGAATTCACCTACCCCAAAATGGTACTATTGGTTTTGACCCACAGCCATTTGGGCTTCATGTTGGCTCTGTGAAACACACTCAAAAAGGGTAGCCTCATAAAAACAAAAAAAAAGTGTACTGTGCTAAACACAGACGGTTGTTTTGCACGCATGGGGCTGACCATGTCCAGGAAAAATCAAGCAAGGCGCAAGTGCATGGTGCACAAGCAACGGTTTGATTTATGGGTGGCAATAAAGGAAACTACCAAAAAGAAAGAAACCAAACACCTTTGCAGATCCGACCCTCTGCTACGTTGAGGCGATTTTGGGGCACCTCGCCCATATATTGTATGTGGTGCAAGGTCAAATTACTCTATATAATTGACACATGTCCAACTATCTTGAGGCGCCACAAGGACAAACACATATTTAACAGTCACCAGGGTTTAAGCCAAAGGCCATGTGGCGCCCATCTGCGCCGTCAATGTTGCAGCCCCGGATTCAGGTCCAGCAATCTCGCATGGCTGCTGTCTCCACCGTATCCTGCACCACCCCATGTCACCACAGCTCCAGATTCAAGAATGGCAGCAAATGCACCAGCAGTTGCTTGGATCTGCTGGACGTTCCTCAGCTGCTCTTGAACCTTGCTGCTGTCTCCGCCAACGTATGGATTGCCCCAAGTCACAACAGCTCCAGATTCAAGAATGGCAGCAAAAGCACTTTCAGTTGCTTGAATGTGCAGGACGTTCCTCAGTTGCTCTTGCACCTGGCTCCTGTCTCCGCCGTATCTTGCACCACCCCAGGTCGCAACCGCCCCAGATTCAAGAATGGCAGCAAAAGCACCGTAGGTTGCTTGGATATGCTGGACATTCCTCAGCTGCTCTTGCACCTGGCTGCTGTCTCCACCCCATCCTGGATCACCCCAGGTCACAACAGCCCCAGATTGAAGAATTGCAGCAAAAGCACCGCGAGTTGCTTGGATGTGCTGAACGTTCCTCAGCTGCTCTTGCACCTGGCTGCTGTCTCCGCCTTCTTCTGGATCACCCCAGGTCACGACAGCCCCAGATTCAAGAATGGCAGCAAAAGCGCTCTCAGTTGATTGGATCTGCTGGACGTTCCTCAGCTGATACTGCTCCTGGCTGCTGTCTCCGCCGTAGTCTGGGTGACCCCAGGTCACAACAGCCCCAGATTCCAGAATGGCAGCAAAAGCAAAGCGAGTTGCTTGGATGTACTGCACGTTCCGCAGCTGCTCTTGTATCTGGCTGCTGTCTCCGCCGTATCCTGCGCGACCCCAGGTCACAACAGCTCTGGATTCAAGAATGGCAGCAAATGCACCAACAGTTGCTTGGATGCGCTGAACATTATTCAACTGCTGTAGCACCTGGCGGCTGTCTCCACCGTAGCCTGGATGACCCCAGGCCACAACAGCCCCAGATTCAAGAATGGCAGCAAAAGCACCATTGCCAGTTGCTTGGATGTGCTGGACATTCTTCAGCTGCTCTTGCACTTGCCTGCTGTCTCCGCCTTCTTCTGGATCACCCCAGGTCACGACAGCCCCAGATTCAAGAATGGCAGCAAACGCACGGCGAGTTGCTTGGATGTGCTGGACGTTCCGGAGCTGCTCTTGCACCTGGCTGATATCTCCGCCCCAGCCTGGATCACCCCAGGTCACAACCTCGTGCCTATGGCCATGCAAAGAAAAGGCCTGGCTAGTGGCAGCTAGTTTACCAAGCTGCACAACGGCAGTCACAACATCCCCATCTCGTAACCCAGACTCGCTCAGTGTGGCCGTCAAATCGAGCTGCCGGCCTTTCGCAATGAGCTGCAAGCGGCGCCGGAAATGCTGCTGCGCTGCAGCCTTCAGCTCGCTGATGGAAGTCTCTTGCGAGACTGCTATGGAGCAACCATCTCCACTGGGCAAGTGAACACGCACCTGCATGGCTCAGGAAGTGTGTCTTGATGCATGGTCAAGTTGTCGAGCACAAACCTGCACCGGCAATGCGTGACTCAGCTGAAGCCAAAGGTCGAGCGATTCGGCAAGGAATCTATTGCAATCAGAAAGGCGATCATCCCTGCCCAGTCGCCCAGCCCTCGTACTCTCCATAAGGATGAGGGTGGTTCCCCACTACCACATATCTAGTCTTGGGTGCAAATGTATCCTTTGTTGATAAGGGTACAATTTGTTGAGTTGGTTCAAAGGGAAAACCAAACCAAAAACCACCGTGTTTAACGCATCCCCATTTTGACACATAGCGACATGCCATAGAACAGCTCCAGGGGCGAATGCGAAATGATAGGAAAGAACAGGATCGCTCCCTTTCAACCCCATTTTCACCAGGTAGAAGGGTACATACCCTCTACTCCAAATACCACTTTTGCTAGGGTATTTTTTTGGAAAACCTTGCTTTTGAGAGTAAATACCTCCTTTTTTGGCAGAGGGTCAACATCATACCCTAGAAAAAGAGGGTATTGGGTGTAAGGGGTAGACAAACTCCATGCCAAGTGTCGACCCTTGGCTGGTGCTTTTCGTGGTTTAAGGCAAACAATATTAAAGTCCGAACATTCCTTGGCAACATGCGCCAAAGCCCCTCCCCAAAAAATGGGTGGGGCCCCTACCCCAAAATGGGATCCCCTTTGTTTTGACCCACAGCCAGTTCGAGCTTTATTGGTCATCTCCTCGCTTCGTCAGAAGCCAGCCACCGGTTTGCTCAGCTCCGGTCTGGAGATTCGCATTTTGCTGTTGTTCCCTTTGTCTTCGAACCTTTTTTAATAATAATACTACCTGGAACCTCCACCCGCAAAAACTCAGGTAGCAATGGAGGCTCCAGGTGACGTGTTTTTTTCTTCCGCCGCTTGGGAAACCCAAAACGAAAAAAACCCCGGAGAACCCATCCCACCCCATCGCAGGCCTTGCGGCTCAAGAGCTCCAAGTCCACCTGGCTCGGTGGCCCAAAGGACCCGGAAACCAAAAGGGGCAAAGACGCGAAAAAAAGGGGGGTCAAACAGAGTAGGTGGTCAGGCTCTGCAAATACCTTTTCCATTTCCATTAACTATTCCCAGGCATCCTTCATGCTTCTTTCTAAAAAATAACGCCCCAACAGTCAGGGGAAAAACCTGTTGGGACCTAAGAATGGTTGCCCAAACATGGGAAACCAAAAGGTCAAAAGGTTGGCTTTGGGCAAGTGAGGCTATGGTTGGGTGAGGACCTCTGGATGAAAAAAAGTTCATTTCGTGCCGAAGAAACCCCGGAAGAATGGTTCCGCTGCAAATGCCTACATAAAGAAGGCTTTTCATGGTTTCAAATTGATGCAAGATTTCGTCCACCCACAGTATTCACCAATTGGGTGCGGGATTTTTAGGGGGCCCCCCGCAAAATGGTTGGTCTTTCGGTGTCCCGCAAAATGGTTGGTCTTTCGGTGTCCCGCAAAATGGTTGGTCTTTCGGTCTCCCTTTAAAATCAAGCAAAAAGGGTACCTGGAGAAAAGACCGGGCTCCTGGGGAATTCCTTTGGTGGCCCTGAAAAACCACCGCTGACCTTCCGCAGCGCCACGCGCAGGCCGAAGCTGCAGTCGGGTGAAACCTGCCGCCGGCAGAAAAAAGGGAATGGACACGTCTCATACCCGGAGTCTCCCTAAGGACCCTGAAAAGATGGGGTCATTACCCAAAATGGGCGCATGGGCCCATGTCAAAAAAGTCATGGAGACTCCAGGACTGGAAAAAGGGATGAACCAAATGGACTAAATGAGAATTGGACTTGCCGCGGGTGTTTTGGAGGACACGTATCATTTTGTACTGTAGTTGGAGAGTGGGGGTGGGTTCCACTTGGTGTCCAGTCAAAAAAGGGAAAAGGAAGGGGCTTGACAGTGATTGAGCGATGTTTTAATCCGACAAACCCCGCCTGGACGGCAGCAGAACACACATTCCAGCCGGGCTGCAGTCCCTTCGTCTTATAAAACAAAAGATACAACCGGTCCCAATTGCAAACATGTATTTCGCCAAAAGTATCGAATGGCTTTGACTATGTTAAGCCCCTAAATCCTAAAGCTTTGCTCCGGAATATGTTTGATAGAGTGGATGAATTACTAGATGGCAGGAGTTTGGCCGCGAACTTGACAGAGCAAGAGCAGACTCCGTGCAAACCACCCCTGTTGCTCCCAATATATGCTCACATCTTTGAGTGCATTGGCCCAAACTGCCCACAAGTGTTGTTTCCCACTTAAGGGATCTTCTAAACCAAAGTTAGTGAGAAAGTGAGGGGGACTCTGTTGCTGTGATATTTCCTTCTCTGGCCTCCAACATGTCTAGTTTGGCCCATAAACCAAAGGTACAATGCAGGCCGAAAAAACAGTCCGTGGTTGAACAAACACAAAGTCCCGCAAAGTGAGCGGTACATCCATCATTTGGAGTTGCGCCGAGGCTGCAGCAATCTCCGCAGAGAGACCTCAGGCCGTCTGTCGTCAAAACACGACACTCGAATAAAACCAACAAACAAATCAACCATCTGGACCCACTGCAGCAACGCATGGACATGCTGGGAGGAGGCTTGAGCTGCTTGGGAAACCAAATGGATACCACTCAGCTTGAAGTGTCCATTCGACATCCGTCAACAAATATGGGAAGTGCACTTCCCCTTTCAACAGAAAGTCTCCACACAAATTCCATGCACTATGCTTGGTTGCTGTTGACCCCCCTGCAAAAAGTTTAACTTTTTGGGGGGTTAGTGGAAAACCCCTTGACTTCCCAAAAAGTTAAAGTCTAAAGATCCAACCCAATAGCAGTCAAGTATGCGCACGTCCGGACCGGCATGTGCAGCTTCCGGGAGTGCAAGCCTTTGCAGCGCGTTTCAAATTGTTTTGCTGCTGCAACTTAGCCCGTGGCTAGCAGGGCTGCGAGCCTGAAACTCGAGCGGTCGCCACAAGCTCGTGGGAATTGCGATGGAACTACTCAGTTCTGTGATACTATTTGACTGGAACTAATTCTTCATTGACAATGTGGCCCGGTATCACAAGGTCAAACAACATATCTGATCATATCTGTATTCCCACAACCCCGCCTTAGTTTTGAGCCGTATCTCCAAAGCCGGATACTGTAGGAGGTATCTCCTGGATATAACTACAGGGAGGTTCTGATTGGTGACAAGCCCAATCCCGAAGATACAGAGTTATTTATCGGGGCAAAGTCACGGCGCCGTGATGGTATCCATGCAACCCCGAAAGCCGCCGTCTCCACAAATGGGTATGGCTCAAAATGGTTCACCAGGGGACACAAACGCTGACAGGTCACCTCTGCGCTTACCTGGTGCCAAGTTCTACCTGAAACCACTGGAAACCGGCAGAAATCCACCAGAAATCCACCAGAAATCCACCAGAAATTTACCAGAAATCCACCAGAAACCAGCAGGAATCCACAGAAACCAGGACACACCACTGGCGAAGAGAAGCCGCACAGCTGCATCGTGCTAAGCGCCCCAGCTTGAGCTTGGGAGCTCCTGAGGCGAGCGGGAGCGACGAACCGACCAGTGGATCGATGGTCAAGCCAGTGGCCCAACATTTGTGTTGTCTGAGACTGGGCGAATTTGGACCCAATTTCGGGATTTGTTGTCTGGGATATCGATTTGTTGGACCCAATTTTACGGGACTGGGCGAGCTTGTGTGTGTGACCCGGAATTATAATTTCAGCCCACAGCTTCTTTACTTCAAGGTGGAGGCTTCGCACGTGCCAAAGTGCAACCGCCGTGGGATTTTGGACTACAGCTAGGTCCTCCAGTAGAGAGGTTAGAATAAGGGGACCCTTTTTTTCTTCTCTTTTTTTTAAGTAGGGGAACCTTTCCCCACAAAAGGGTAAAAGGGCACTACTGGGGGACCTAGCAGAATTTCAAAGCGACAGCTTCTTCACTTCAAGGTGGAGGCTTGGCACGTGCCAAAGTGCAACCGCTGTGGGATTTTGGACTACAGCTAGGTCCTCCAGTAGAAAGGTTAGAATAAGGGGACCCTTTTTTTCTTCTCTTTTTTTAAGTAGGGGAACCTTTCCCCACAAAAGGGTAAAAGGGCACTACTGCGAAACCTAGCAGAATTTCAAGCGACTGATTCTTCGCTTCAAGGTGGAGGCTTCGCACGTGCCAAAGTGCAACCGCTGTGGGATTTTGGACTACAGTGAATCATTGGAAATGCGGAAGGCTCGAGGTTGACGCCATCGCCTTGAAACAATACCACGACGGCAACAAGCCGAAGAGGAACCACCCAAATCTAGAACCCCAGCAAGAGTGTTCATTGCGCTTCCTTTGGACGGTTAATGCGCTATTAAAGCCCGATGCCATAAAAACCTCCAAATTTAGGGAACTCATAGTGCTCGATATGGCTTGACACACTGAAGCCACAGCCCCTTTGCCCGTTTACACATTGGACTCAAACTCAAAATATTCAGAATTGTTCTGTCAGACTCCATGTCAAAACAGGCTCACAATATTATTGTCAGACTTCCAACACAACTGCATATATATATATATAAAAGGCATATGTATGTGTACATACTCACTTCCTTTCTGGATGGGCCAAAACAAGGCCAAACTGGTGTTTTACCACTCAAATGGTCTTCCCAAAAAGTTTTATAGTCCAGGAACTCCAGAAGTGAGCATACAACATGTGTATATATATATATAAACATCTAGGTCCTCCAGTAGAGAGGATAGAATAAGGGTACCCTTTTTTCTGTAGGCTATTTTAGTAGGGTTCGGAACCCTCCCAACCAAAAAAGGGGAGAGAAGGGCACTGGGGACCTAGGTGTATATACATGTAAATATACAACAGGGATCCTTACATTATACACCTGAACATTGCAACTTGTAAATGGTGGTTTCCAACTTTATTTTGGTGTTGAAAAAGCGTAACATGTTTCAAATGGTTGCAAAATGGAGATCTTTTGAGGAGCCCTGTGCATGTATGTGCATCGGGTCAGAGCTGGGCGCCCGGGCTCTAGGAAGGCTTCCAAACGGCACCACCTCAATGAGAGGCATGAGTGGCAAAAGTTGGGTAGCTTCCATTTGGTTAAGGCCCCAGAAGAAAATGAAAACATATTTCCAGTAGTAATGGATTCCTTTAAGAAAAAAACACAAGGGGACATACGAAATATATTCTCAAGCAAATGGAAGGTAGTGGGTGGGTGGGTGGGTGGGTGGGTGGGTGGGGGTGGGTGTGTGTGTGGTTGTATACACATTCTGCAAAAAAAACGGATCATGGCCCATGGAACCCTCGTCCGTGGTGGGCAAAAAAAACGGGCCCATGGCGCAAAGGGCAAACACACCACCGTCGAAACGAAGGCAATTCTCGGGGGTTTCTTCCATGTCCATTCTTTCCAGGGGTTTTTTTTACAGAGGTTCTCAAGCTTGATTGTTCTAGGGGTTTCCGAAACAATGCCCCTATCTATTTCATTCCTGGCCAATCTTTGGAAATCAGTGAAAGGTCATACAGCGGGAATCAGCATTCTAGGGGTTTCTTCCAATTCCATTCTTTGCAGGGATCAAACTCTTTTCAGAAAACCAGCAGAGTCCAAGGGGAAGCAGCTGGTTTTTGAAAAGAACAATGGTTGAAAAGAATGGGGAATCAACCCCTAGAACAATCAAGCTTGAGAACCTCTGTGGAAATGGTGGCCTGAAAGAACCCTATATGGGTGTGTGTGTGTGTTTATCAAAATAGGGACGTAAAACAGAGGGTGCCCTCAAAAACGCGCACAAGGGGCCGTGAGATTGTTTTGATGCCAAATCGGAAGCAAAGAACCTTTTGGTCGTACATGCGCGTGAATTTTCTGGAAAGTTGCCTTGTTGTGCTTGCCATGATAACCACCAATCCGGACCCCCAAAAGACCCATTTGGTTGCCTTTGACCCAAAAAAGAACGGTACAAAGCCAGAAAAAAGGAATCGGTCTTTCGGGGGTCCAGGAAGCCAAACCATCAATTCGGGGGACACTGAACAAAGGCTTGAACTGGCCGAATAGTTTCTTGCGCAAAGCGAATCGACCTTCTGACATCTTGGCTTCCCCTTTTAGTCATTCCAAGCTCCAGCTGCCCCTTTGGGCATTTGTTGACTTGATTTGTTTAGTTCCGCCTACACGGGTCCAGGTGTATTTTCCCAGCTCAAAGCTTTGGGGGCTAAACCAGCCTTTTTGTTGGCGCAAGTAATTGAGAGGTGGACCTGATTATGGCAATCCTCCCTGCTTTCTGTTCCCAAACGAAATCCGTTCGCACCACTTTGAAGCCATGGGAATCCATTGTTTGCTGGCATTTACAGGGGGAATCGAATCATTTCAGCGTTCAGGCGTGGTGCAGGATTTCGTCCATCCACAGCATTATCCTGAATTGGCTCTGCCAGCTTTGGTGTGTACACATATATATATATATATAGAACAGAAAAGCGCCAGGTCTGTTTCATTCCGCTTGCCTTCCACTGTGGGTTTTGGGGAAAGCTCAAGGGAAGAGAGTCAAAAACGGCTCGCCGCTTTCATCGTCAGGTATGTGGCTTTTGAGGGAGCCGGGAGGGTGCGGCGGGAGCTGACCGGCCGTGGAAGTTTCAATCATATAAGAACTGGAGCTTGCAGCACGCTTATTTTCCCCTTCCGTCTCTCTCTCTCTCTCTCTCTCTCTCTCTTTCTCCCTCTCCCTCTCTCTCTCCTTCTCCCTCTGTCTCTTTCTCTGCTTCTTGTGCATTATATTTATCTTTCTCTGTATCTTTCTCCGTCTCTTCTTCCTTCTCCTTCTCGTTTTCGTTATCTGTCTCGTTCTCACTTTCTTCCTTTCCTTTATCTTCTTCTTTATCTTCATCTTGTTCTTCTCTCGTTCTCTTCTTCTTCCTCTTCGTTCTTGTTCTCTTCATCTTCGTCCTCCCTTTCTTCTTCCTGTTTCTCTTTATCTTCTTCTGTATCGTTCTTGTTCGCTTATTATTTATCTGTGTCTTCGCTTGTCTTTATCTTGCTATTATCTCTGTATTTTCTTCATCCTCTCTCGTTCTTTTAATTTATTCCTGGTATGTGTTTTCTTTCGCGTTATATTCCTCTTTCGCAGTATCTTTCTTGTTATGTGTTTGTTATTATTCTTGCTCTCTCTCTCTCTCTCTTTCCCTCTCTCTTCCTCTTGCTTTCTTTTTATTGCTCGTCTTATCATCTTGTGTTGTTTCTCTCTCACTCGCTCCCTTTCTATTCCTCTTCCTCTATATTTGTTTACTTACCCTTATCTTTTTGTGTTTATTTAGCTTCCTCTTTCTCTGTCTCATTTGATATGTCTCTGTTTCTTTCCTTTTCGCTGTTTATTTCCTCTTTGTATTTTATTATGTTGATCTTTCTCTTTCTGTTACTCTTTATCTCTCGCTTTCTCTTTTACTTTGCTCTTTCTCATAATTATTTACTTCACTTCATCTTCTTTACTATTCTTATCTTCTTGTGTCTCTTTCTCCTCCTCTTCCTCTGTCTCTTTCTCCTCTGTCTCTCTCACTCTCTGTCTCTCCAGCCCACCAAATTGAACAAATGAAAGCAGCCCAAAAAAAAACGAGCTTTTGAGGGTCGACGCATCAACAGTCCCGCAGAGGGTTCATCATTGAACGTTGCGCAGGCTGAAACATGCAGAATACCACGAGTTGTTGGAAAGGTCGACCCTTTGAAAGTCCGCCAAGGGTGGCGCCAGGAAAGTGAACATCAAGAAACAAGGGCGCAACTTTTTGACGGTCGGCCCACTCGAAGTCCACAAAGAGTTCACTTCTTGAAAGGTTGCAAAACTGAGCGCGGCCGTGTCGATGGGCCCTCCGAAAATGATCCAAGCCCCCGAGGTTTGCGCTGCTGATCTCCTGCGCGGGCCCACGCATTCGGCCCCCCTCTTCTATGGCCCAGCTCTCGGTTTTTTCTGTAGTGTACTGGCAGTGTTTTTTTTTTTCTTCTTTTTTTTAAATCACGTGCAACACATGCATTTCCAAGAGCCAGCGAAACTCAATTGAGCAAATACGCCATCGCTCCCTATGTTGTATCAGGTTGCTTACACGCGAGCTTGCGCTTTCCTTACGCAACCCATGTTTTGGCTTACGTGGCAGTCAGAGAGGATGGAAAGCTTATGCGTCGACTCGGCGCGCTTCCCCTCTGGAATTGCTTACACGGGCTCCTTTGTCTATGCGTTCCTAAGCTGCTCTTGCACCTGGCTGCTGTCTCCGCCGCCCTCTGCAAGATCCCAGGTCACAACAGCCCCAGATTGAAGGATGGCAGCAAAAGCACCGTAAGTTGCTTGGATGTGCTGTACGTTCCTCAGCTCCTCTTGCACCAAGCTGCTCTCTCCGCCGTAGTCTGGATGACCCCAGGTCACAATAGCCCCATATTCCAGAATGGCAGCAAAAGCATCGCTAGTTGCTTGGATGTACTGGACGTTCCTCAGCTGCCCTTGCACCTGGCTGCTGGCTCCGCCGTGTTCAGGATCACCCCAGGTCACAACAGCCCCAGATTGAAGAATTGCAGCAAAAGCACCGCCAGTTGCTTGGATGTGCTGGACGTTCCTCAGCTGCTCGTGCACCTGGCTGCTGTCTCCTCCAGATTCTGGATTACCCCACGTCACAACATCCCCAGATTCCACAATGGCAGCAAAAGCAGCAGCATTCAGATTTCTAGTTGCTTGGATGTGCTGGACATTCCTCAGCTGCTCTTGCACCCTGCTGCTGTCTCCGCCATATGGTGCAAGACCCCAGGTCACAACAGATCCAGACTCAAGGATGGCAGCAAAAGCAGCCCAAGTTGCTTGGATGTGCTGGACGCTCCTCAGCAGCGCTTGCACCTGGCTGCTGTTTGCGCCCCAGTCTGGATTACCCCAGGTTACAACAGCTCCAGATTGAAGAATGACGGCAAAAGCATCGCTAGTTGCTTGGATGCGCTAAACGTTTCTGAGCTGCTCTTGCACCTGGCAGCTGTCTCCGCCGTAGTCTGGTTGACCCCAGGTCACAACAGCCCCAGATTGAAGAATTGCAGCAAAAGCACCGCAAGTTGCTTGGATGGACGTTTCTCAGCTGCTCTTGCACCTGGCTGCTGTCTCCGCCGTGTTCAGGACCACCCCAGGTCACAACAGCCCCAGATTCCAGAATGGCAGCAAAAGCAAAGCCAGTTGCTTGGATGTGCTGGACGTTCTTCAGCTGCTCGTGCACCTGGCCGCTATCTCCGCCGGATTCTGGATCACCCCACGTCGCAACATCCACAGATTCAAGAATGGCAGCAAAAGCATCCTCGGCATTTGCTTGAACATGCTGCACGTTCTTAAGCTGCTCTTGCACTGACTGCTATCTCCGCCAGATTCTGGAACGCCCCAAGTCACAGCCTTCCCCCATGCTCATGACAAGTGAACGCTCTTGCATTGGCAGCCAGTTTGCCAAGCTGAACAAACGCAGCCACAGCATCCCCATCCTGCAGCCGGCATCACTCATTGCAGCTCTCAGCTCGCGGATGGTTGTCTCCCGTGAGACTTCTACAGGGCAACCATCTCCGCTTGGCAAGTGAACATCCACCTTCATGGCGCCTTCGGAAGGTGCAAATCCAGGCCTGAAACACAAGCACATGGAAAAGCCGGGGCCCGTTTCGAATGGCTTCCGAAGGGATCCCAACGACTGGCAAGGGTTCAAATCCTTGGACACAAAGCACAGATCCTTCATGGGGGAGGACCTGTCCAGATTGTTGCTGAAGCTCTTCGGTAGCCCGAGATCAATGTCAGCGAGTCGTTGACACAGACAACCGAGCATGAACTGTTGAACAAAGGTGCAGCGCACTTGGGTGTTCGGCCAAGTTGGTAAGTTGTTGTTCCTAACTCGTGAATGGACTGGCCACAGAAGCCCAAACCTCTCTGTATGCCACTAAAATGGTTTCAAGAAGTTCAAAGTCCATGAACTCAGGGAGTGAGCTAAGCAACTGAGAACCAGCAAGTGAGGCGAACTAAAGCCTCATCAAAGCGCCATGCGCTCTGGCTCTCTGGCTCTCTGGCTCTCTGGCTCTCTGGCTCTCTGGCTCTCTGGGGCTTCGGCCGCTCGCCTGCCGGATGTCAAAACCACCAACAAACATGATGCAAAGATGAAACGGGGCGCGCCTCAAAAACAATATCTCCTGGCTGTCGGTCCGCTGACCGGATTTCTTGGCTGTTTGCGGTATCCAGGGCTCGTGTTTGATCCCCTGGCCTTTGGATCCAATCTAAATGATTTCCTGCCTGGAAAGCCTTATGTCCCTCTTTTTTTCCACACGGAGCGTTTTTCCCACAGTATTCCCACAGGTCATGTTTTGCTGGCCGGTGGCCGTATGGGTTTCCAGGTGGTACAGCCAGCGGCTGGACCATACAATTCGCGGCCCCGCGATTTTGCCTGGAGAAGAAGCAATGCGAAAGGGCGTTGCCACTTGTTGAGCAGCGCGCGCACACATTTTCAAAGTCTTGCACGGAATAGTTACACGACCTGACTTTCCTGATAGCACCTCTTACCCTCCGCCAAAAGAACCCCATTGAAGATCGGCCATGAAAGGTGATGACTCGAGGTGATCTCCATGCGGACCGCGCCTGACGGAACCCGGGGCCCGGTTCAGGCGCCTTACGGGGCCCGAGATCCGAGAGTTCGGCCGCCGGCCTTCTTCTTTTTCCGCGGGGAGCTGGTCTAACCTCAGAGTGGTTGCCTTCCACAGATCGTCAACCCAAACAGGGATCCTTACATGAAAAACACCTGAACATTGCAACTTGTAAATGGTGTTCCCCCCTATCTTGGTGGAAAAAAACATGTTTCAAAGGGGCAACATGTATTTTTTAAGGAGCCCTGCCAAAGGCTTCTCTTTTCTACCAGGGTCACTGGCCAAGGCTGAAGCTATGGTCGAGTCGAGGGTCAAGCTAGGCTCTGGGGTTTAGCAGGGCAGTGGCCGTTGGAGACAACAACTGTGCTTTGGGAAAGGGTGAACATCTGCACACTAGGTATGGCCATCTGGTAACGGATCTTTGGACTTTATAACTTTTGGTTGAAGCAGTGGGATTTCCCGCATGCACCCACCAAAAGTTGTTCAATTTTTCCAGAGGGGTCGTTGCAGCAGCCACGCACTTTTACGTTTGTTGCGATCGGATGGTCTACCTGCAAAAGAACAAGCGGGTGAGACTTGGCACGGTATAGGGTAAGGGTCCCAACACCTAGGCAGGCAAATTGCTCTCCTAAATCAAGTCTTTGGGGGAGTAAAGGAGGCGCTAACGTGCACGAAGCTCATTCCCTGCACCAGTGACAAGAACCTGATGCAGCCTTGCACGGGACGTGCCCCGCGCAATACTTTTGCTGGGGCTGTGGCCAGTTGTCCTTGCGTGCCTGGGCCAAGGAAAGAAACAGATTGCCTTGCCATCCCCAAAGAGATGCAAGCTAATATGGGTAACTGTGGCAAAGCGTTTCGCTAACTCCTGGATCATCCAAGTTGCGGTTTTGGTTACTTCCGCCTTCTCTAGGAACCAACGGGATCTGGCGTCGCACAGCGTCCTAGGTGCAACTTCACAGCTCGGATCGATCCCAAGTGGGGGCAAAAGGTTGTCGAGTTCACAGGGTAAAGCTGGTGGTCTTGGAGAACGGGTCAGTTTACCCTGAAAAGATGATACTTCTAGTGGTTCCTTCCATTTCCATTCTAAACCCAGGGATCCGAATGTTTCTAGAAAACCTCAAGAAACCCAGGGAAAACAAGTCCAGTTTTGAAAAGAACGATGGTTGAAAAGAATGGTTGGAATCAAGCTCTAGAATACTGTCCTTTTGGCCATGGAGGTCGACCACTCTTTGTTCCAGCTGTTGAAACAGCTCCCTTGACTCTCCACTGACTGGGGTTTCCCTTAGGTCAGTCCAGATGGAACCATGACCCTGGCACTTTCGGGCCGGTGCCCCTGATCCACGGGCTGGCAATACTGTAAATGGACGAAATCCGTTCGCACCACTTTGAAACCATGAGAAACCAGTGTTTGTTGGTATTTACAGGGGAAACAACATTCTAGGGTTTCTTGGGTGGTGCAGGATTTCGTCCATCCACAGTAGCTGGAATGGTTCCCAAACACGGGTCCAGAGCTGGGCTCCCAAACCTGCCTTGGGCTCGCTGCAAGCCGTGCATAACTTGCTTTCGGCGGGGTTTCCTGGTTTGGGCCGGACGGTTGGGTGCAGGGCTTCTGGGAGCTTCAGGGTGTGCGGCTAGGATTTCAGCGAGCTTGGAGTCGGTTTGGAGCCGATCCTCGATGGATCTGCGCTCAGCTCAGCCGAAGCGCTTCTTGGACGAAAGGATTGAGCCATGATCGAGGTCGTGGTTCAGACCCGAGTTCGCTTGCACCCAACCACCTCCCTTGGGTTCCGTTTTGGAAGGCGTAGAAACCGCCGACGGTTGGAGTTCCGCGCGCCCCACGGACAAGACCAGTCAGTTCTGCGCAAGGAACACAAATTGGTGTTCATTTATCTAGGTCAATCCAGTTTTGGAGGTCAGAATAAGGGTACCCGTTTTTTTTGTCCTTCTTCTTTTGCTTTTTTTTTTTTTCCGGTGGTCTTTTTTAGTAGAAAAAGGGTGAGCAAGGGAACCTACCTGGGGGACCTAGCTATGAAGAGGCAACCGGGTCAGCCCTGGACTTTCTGGTTACAACCCTCCCGGTGTTTGACCAGGCATCGTGCCTGGAGAGGCCATGGGATTTTGGGCTTCCGCGCTTGGCCCAGGGCCAGCACAGAGCCATTGCCCAGGAGGTCCAAGCCTCAAAAGGACAAGTCACCAGCCCTATTCCAGTAAGTCTTTTTGCAGGAGAAACGATTCAATTGGCCCTGGTGACGTTTGAAACCAAAGCCTTCCGCCAGTACATTTTTTCCACAGGAGGAACGCTTCCATTGGCCCAAGTGACGTTTGAAACCAAAGGGCCCGGAAATACAGTAGCCCTAAAAAGGGCAGCCTTCTTCTTTTTGGACTTAGCCTCCCAACTGGACGTCTGAGGACTGTGTTCCTTCTAATGGCGACAGTTGGATTTGGCATGGCAACCTTTTGAGATGCTGAGCACTGCCCAACATAAAGTTCAAAATCGAGGGCTTTCCAAAGCAAAAGGGAGCATGTGACTTTTCGGCATTTGTCGCCTTCAAGGAATTGGGACGCGAAAAAAGGTCGACGTTCTATAAGCTGTTTAAATGGCTCTGGGTGAAAACCCTGCACCCCTGGTGAACGTCAAAATAGGTGGAATATGGGTCCGCCCCAAAATGGAGGCATAGGTGACCCATGGCCAAGTGACTCTGAGATACCGGAGGCCAGCTGCCCAACGCGTGGCTTCTCTGTGAGGCTGCTGTAGATCCCCCCCCCAAAAAAAAACACAAAAAACGGAAAGACAAACAAACAAGCAAGCAAGCAAACAAACGAGCATACCCAGCAAACAAACAAGCAAACAAACAAACAAACAAACAAACAAACAAACAAACAAAAAATCAAACAAATAAGCAAGCAAACGAACATACCAACAGCAAACATAGAACCAAGCAAGGATATGCACACCATTTGTTCAAGGAGCTTGTTTTTGCTTCCCCTGCATGATCATTTGGTGGGGTGTTCCATTTCTTAGGGAATTGCCTACTTGCTTCTGCATATTTGAAGCCAATCAACACTAGTTCCTGTAACAATCATTCAACACAACTGGTAGCAACTGAGCCCTACTGACCTATATACTGTACTTGAAATTGGTAAGATTCGCCAACTTGGGCCGTCACCAACTTGCTTCCCGGTGGTGAAACTCTAACCCCTCGCGCCATAGCTTTTTTGCTTCGCTAGAAGGAACTGCGAGAAGAGAATATATCTGGCAATCGCAAGTCCTGGCAAGAGATGGAACTGCAGATTTCTCGGCTGATGTTCTATTTTTCCGCTGAATTCCCCTTCTGGACACCTCCTGACAAATATATAAGATTCATTTTCCATCTCAAACCGTGGTCACCGCCATGCAGACTTGCGCCAGCGCGCTCGAATTGAAGGCAGCTGGCCCTCTCTCTCTCCCTCTCTCTCTCTCTTTCAGGTCGGTGCTTTCAGCATTCGACTCTCCACTGCCATTTGACCCATGGGCCTCGATTTCTGGGAACGGAATCAACGTGGTATAAATACATACGAGTCCATTCTTCCATATATATATATATATATTCATATATACATACATACATGTACATTACTCTTAATTGCAAAACAAACTAACAGCAGCCAAACATATATAAGGGATCCCCAAGTAATACCTCACCATGGACGAGCTCGTTTGAACCTGAGTCGATCTCATTGTGACTCACTAGGCGGGCAGAAACTATTGGAACCGGATTGGATAGCTCCTTGTTTGAACATATGCGTGTTTTTTTCTCAACCTCCTATTGGCTTCCCAAGGGAGGGTCTTGTTGAAGCACATCTTTCACAAAGGTTGGAACAGCTGTTTATTTCAACAGCGCTTTCATCTATCTCGTTGAAACCCAGAGGCTAGAAACGGGCTGGCGTCCCACGTTCCATTTCAGCAACGCTGGACGCAGACAAAAGAGCCGAAACGTATTTGCTGGCCGTTGGACAGCCGATTTCGCTTCTACATGCCAGCCCCAGATTTGTGGAAAACACGCCAAACGCACCAGCCGGAAGCTGCGGTGATGTCTGCCATGCACACTTCGCGTGGCACATGTCCTTCAAGGTGGAAAAACCTTCCCCTCCCTGAGAAACTTGTACCAGGATTCCTGGACCGCCTGCGATTTTAGGGCATAGCAGCCTGATCAACCGCGTGTTCCTTTATAATGCATCATGCCCCAGGGTCTTTGCACTCATTTTAAACGCCTTTGATATACCTCGATACCTGGCCAATTGAATCGGTATGATCCCTTCCTCTGTGGGGCAGCAACAAAATCCCGGTGTCCATTTCCCAGATCCCTCGCAACCAGTTTCTGTGTGCTGACACATGGAAGCTAGGCAAGCACTCGCGAGCAAAGGCTTCTTCCCTCACAAGAGTCTGTGGCGGCCACGGTCGGGCAATCACTGTGACCCCTTGCCAGCCTGACATAAACACTAAAACACAAAACACATCTGCAACAAGAAATGCAATAAACTAGCCGCAAAGAACAAAGTCAAATCTCATCCAGTCGCGCGCAGCTACATGCAGCTACATCAACAACCGTGGTCATAAAAGGGAACGCTTGCATAGACACTCACACACCCAAGCATTGAAGCATTGCAACCACCACATTCCAACGCATGTTAGAACATACAAACGCCACGCAACCTGCACACATATAAGGATACATACGCCGGTTTATAAATACATATGTGGATATATATATATATATATATTATATATATATATATGTGTACACATACATAGATCATATGAGGAGCGGACAAAACACTTTACTTGGCCCTAGTACTTTTTTGAACGTTATCGTTTTTGGGGGAGACCTTATCGTTTTACAGTGTTTTCGAACTTTGGCAGGTCCGGCTTGAAAATCGCAACTTTGTAGTACAAGTCTAGTACGCGAAGTACACTTCCGTAGCTCCAGCTCGAAAATCGCAACTTTGTAGTACAAGTCTAGTACGCGAAATAGACTCGAAAATCGCAACTTTGTAGTACAAGTCTAGTACGCGAGGTACACTTCCGCATCTCCAGCTCGAAAATCGCAACTTTGT